GTAGGAATTTAGTACGGTACTTGGCACATTCAGTGTGTGGGAAAGAGGCTTAAAGAACTAAACATTATAAATGATTATACTTAATTATTAAGTGAGATCTACGTGGGCTTTCTGTGAGTTGTGTCTTGAACACAAAACAAATAAAATAAGAAACAAAAAAAATGTGTCACATTTAACCCAGAAATGGTAACACTAGAAGCACATTACTTTTGACATAAATGTTCTTCGATGAATACCGCAACATAGCGAGCGAGAGTATAAATGTAACATGCCAATATCTATAAAGTAATAAAAGACCTACATACGAAGAGTTAGCAAGTGCAGTTAATCAATGTCGAGCTTTAATTACGGCACTAATGTCTTGATGCAATTTTAACTATCCGCCGACAAGTATTTATTGCATAATATTTTGCTGGTAAAATAAAATTGATGTTAATCGACCTAGTGACTTCATTCGAAGGGTTTAATACTTCTTTTTTAAATTTATTAGCTCGAGTTGATGCTTTAGGCTGTATAGTAATCGACGTATGGAGCAGGGTTGTTGCCGATGCAGGTTTTATTACACATCAGCGGACGCGGATGCTAATTTTATCTATTTGATAAAAATTGTACATAACTAAGCTTTTTAATGATTTCGTTTTATTTAACGATTATGTGACGTTCATTAACAAAGTATCAACTTGTATAAGTCTGCCTAGCTCAATCAAACTAGAATTTTTTCAAAGGTCAGAAAGAAAGAAGGCTGAGCTGCTTTTCGGGCTAGCAGTTGTCTCTGGATGGTTAGTGAATTTTTCCAACGCGCCATTAATTCCCTCGTTTTAAGGTAATGTCACAACGCGAATACCCGTAATAAATATCAGCAGATAAACGCGGAAGTTGATGCAGATGCGGATATTTTAATTTATGCCGATTATAAATGGATGCGAATGCTGATATTCGTAACAACCCTGGTGTAGACGTGCGCATCGCTGAGTGTAGTGCGTTTTTGTTTCTCAGTTTACCTATTTTTGTGTTCGCTTTCAAAGATACGATCGTTTCTTCTTAATGTTCTTAAAAGAAAGGTCACAATAGGTCAAACCAGACTTGCAAGTAACGGACGCGAGTGACAAACGATTTAATTCATCTTGTTCTTTATTGAAAAGGGCAAAATTGGTAGGTGATGGCCTTACTAATAGCTTAGCTAAATGAAAGGCGGATTAAAATGGGAGTGTTTACTCCGTCTAATTGTTGTATAAATAGAATTTAGTGCCATTTAGTCTTATGCATGACAAGAGTAAGATAACCATCTGAAGTTGAAAAAAAAGTGACGGTGTTATTGGAAAATACTGATTCTCCTATCGACAACATACTTCAGGGCATCTTAAGAGAGTCACCAAAATCAGAAACTTTATATCACTAAGAGTTAACAAGACGTTACTCCTTTGCGCCCATGAGAAAACCTCAATGTGTTTTTCGCTCTTATTGCATAAACGAAGCTTTTTCAAAGCGTATTGTGAATTTATACAAAATAAAAATGGGTGACGGTGTATACGATCAGATTAGAGGTTAAGCTCTTCCTTATAACACTAATTGGGGTGCACGAAATGACTCTCCTCGCGTATGGCGTAATATTCATGTCCTCCGAGTACGTTACGCCGATGTCCAAATCCTTTCAACTCGATAGCAAACATGTTTACACTTCAACATGGCGGCTACTATTAGTGACGCCGGTAGCGAAAATAACTTCTGGACGACTATAATACGTTACAAATATATACGTTAGGTAAAAACTAAAAACCGATAATTTACAACCCAGTATAGAACATAAAAATCTTAATTGAACAATGTAAACAACATTTTCCGATAAAATAAGTAAGTTACCTATATGTTGTAAAGA